ATATATATATATGGACAAAAATTCTGCGGCCTGGGACAGGAGGGAATGGTTAGAACATTTGCTAAGCATTTTGTCTCTGTTTTACTGTTGTTACCATCATTAGACTGCAGTGAGGTTAGAATTGAAGACCATGGAGATGAGAAAGGCATTGAGAAGATACACATACTGGGTTCTGTACCCTTAATTTCAGATAGACCGCAAATCCAATTATCCTTCTTCGACTGGCGTGGGAATATTACTCCCACAAAACTGAATGGTATTGTTCTTCCTTCTGGAAATTCTATCACATGTTTATAACAAAAGTTAATCCCAACCTTAATTTTTAAGTGGTTTGACTCTCTGATATTTTCCCAATAAAGTTGATTTAGAAATTCAGTTGTTTAGTTCATTTGCTCTCTTGGCTGTAGCCTGCATGAAAATGTATGGACTACTTTTCGATGAGTTCTCTCAATGTCAAGCATTGAAATGCGGACTATTATTTGACTGCCATCAACGATTTAAATCACGATGCCTTGGTCAGTTTTTGCACATTAACAAGTTATGAGGCTAAACTGAAATGGGGCCAGTTTACCAGGAAAACGAGAGCAACAATATTTTGTGGTCTACGTAAAATATCTCGAGCAATACCAGAAAGCGTTCCTCAATCGACTTACATGGCTCATTGCATATATAAAACTATTGAGGAAATCGTGAAACTCATCAGCTTCTACCAGTGGGAAAATCTTACTCCACCCACATAATTAGTGGTTTAGACATCGTTACCCTCGAATTAACAAGTCACCCAAGGAAGACTCTTAGTGCGCAATTTCAAATGATTGCCACTTTTATCATTTTCAACGTCTCTACAGCATACAAGAGTTTTAACTGTGGCGGTGTTAGTTGGATCAACTTTCAGGCAGTTTGCGAACACAAGTCAAGACGACGACAAGAAGGAACCACAGCAGCAAGGACTGTCCATCGATGTTTTTAAAGCAGCCGTTGCAGTTCTGCCCAGCCGTTTCACTTACAAACTGGTTCCATTTTATCTCTCTTGTGATCAATTGTTAAAGGAAGTTGCTGGCAAGGTCAGTATCATCCTCTTTCTAGCTTTTCTAATTTTAGTCCGGGGAAAAATGGCTTTTGAAAGAACCTACTACGAGCCCCTTTTGTTGGATTTGGGATTATGCTTTAGTGCTTGTTTCTACTCAGTTTCTAAAACAACTTCTCTGTTCTACAAAACTAAACCTGAGCCAAACAAGAGCAATTGGAAGAAGGGTTTTCAAACATACGCAATAGTGCTTTAGTGCTTTATGCTTTACATTTCGAACATACGCAATAACTCTTCATCCTCTCGTCCTTTCTTTTAACTAATCTATATTTTACTACCAACAAAGGCTCAATAAAACAACAAACAGCACCAAGAGTTGGACTGATGACATTTTGTATTTGTAATGAAGGCTTTTGATGCAGTTCTTGGCGGTATAGTAATTACAGCAGAAAGGTCCCATCTTGTAGAATTCTCACAGCCTTATGCCAAACTAGGATTGGTGATGGTGGTCAAGAAAAAAAACAATGAATTGAAGGATATTTTGCGGTTCATGAGCCCCTTTACTCGAGAGATGTGGGTTATAATGGCAGCTATGACTGTCCTCACTGGTTTTGTTATCCGGGTAATTGAACATCGAACCTGCAACGAAATGCATTCTAGACATGTTGAAGCTGTCGTCTGCCTCCCTTTGGCTTTCCTCCTCAATGAACATAGTAAGATGACCGTACATACGTTATTACTTTTGCTTCATAAATAACTAATGGAGCATATTGCACTTAAGACATGATTTCTATGTGTAAAAGAAAATAAGGTTTGAATCTCCTTCTCCAAATCTAAACTAATTAAATATAATATGCTTGGAATTTGGAACCATATTAAAATAGTATGATATCATTAAATATTCAATAATTTAAACCAATCACTGTCTAAATTTCCAGACAATTTGTCTACCACTAATTAGTTAATCTATTACCTTGCTGATTTACTATTAATTCAGTGCATGAAAACTGACAACCAATTTTTATGTTTTCCTGTCTTTTTCTGTATTTAAATGACTCTGGCAGCACTCACCTACTTTCCCTAATTATTTTGCTCATTTTATGGAAGCATATAAAATTTTCGTTGCTTCATTGTCAATTTTATTTTCTCTGATTTCAATTTCATGCATGTACATACATATTTTTTTCCTTTAATTTTCTAGAGATTATTTTTAATGAATTCTAGCCTCGCATATTATAATTGAAATAAATATTAGGTTTAATGTCATTTTTTTTGGCTCATACTTTAAACGTTGTGGAAAGTTTTTAAGATCAGAAATTCTTAGAAAAACAGAGCCGCTTTTAAGACTGTTTCAAAGAATTTCATGTTTATCGTATTAAGTATTTATTTAGTCATTTGCATTGCAGCCTAATCCATTTACTAGGTTTCTCTCTAAAATGCTACTAAGGTGATGCATAAGGTATACAGGCAATGAAATGTATGAGAAAAAAAAATAGTAAAAGAGTAAAATAGAAAATGCCACGAGAAAGCCTTTTAACAGCAGGAGTTAAAAGAGTAAGATCTTTTATTTGCAGGACCCAGGAACAAATTGTCTTTTTTTGTGCTGGTTCCATGGCTAATTCTTACCCTGATTGTCTCGACAGCCTTTACCGCAAGCCTTAGTTCTATGGTAACAAGTTCACAAGGTGATGAGCCATCTCACTCGAATGTTGATTCACTCAGAAAGACAAATGATGCTATCGCTAGTGATGGAAATTCTTTCACCGTCACATATTTGGTGAAATGTTTGGGATTCAAGCGAAAGAATATAAGAAAGATCGCTTCATTTGATGACCGTGCAAGAGCTTTATCAAGTGGAAATATACAGGCTGCATTCTTATTAACCCTTGACGCCAATGTTTTCCTTGCAAGATACTGCTACGCCTTTGCATAGTCGGGACCTGCCTACAATCTAGGCAGTTTTGGATTTGTAATCTCAACTATTCTCTTTCAGTTAATTTTTTCAGTACTGCTATGATAGTTGGCCTTTCTTGGCCATTGTTCAAGCTTCCAGGTGGTTTAAGAATGTATATACCATTAATTTGTTTTAAGATCTTGTGTTATAGGTGTTTCCAAGGGGTTCTCCATTGGCTGCAGACATGTCAGAGGCGATTCTTAATCTGAGGGAGGCAGGGGAATTGCAGCAAATGGAGGAAGATACGCTATCCATTTCAAATTGTTCAAGTTCAACATCTGATGAAACTTTTTCCCGAGGAATTGGACCTGGGGTCTTTTCTGGTTTGTTCATTCTATCAGGAGGTGCTTCAGCAACTGCATTGGTAATTACAGTCATTCGTCGATTGAAAAGACGTTGGGAGAGCTGCATTCAGAGAATGTTGATCGGTAGGGGGCTTTTGGTGTGGTTGACAATTCTCTTCTCTCATAATAATCAGACAACAAATGAGCTCCAACTTGCAAGAATAAGTTCCAATCACTAAATATATATATATATATATATATACAACTCCCGGTATATTATCATGTGGGTTAGGTCATCAAATTAGCAGGCAAAAAGATGTCAGGGAATTTCCAGCATCTGCAATCTGAGTAATTATTAGTACGAATCTTACTGCCATATGCTACGTACTACTCATGTATCAGAAAGGAGTTGAATATGTGGGAGGAAACCATATCAGCTTATACTAACAAGTAACTGGGCTCTTGAAGCAACCATTATGATGGTGGCCTCAGCTTTTTCGTTGTTGCCTGCGCAACAAAAACGATTTCAGCGTTCCTCTCTAGCGGGAATTTATGTACTTATCTTACCCATCTACAGTATGTATTTGCTATTTACCATTTAGTTGAGATAGTCGATCAGTAACCGGAGGAAACTGGTCAATAAAGGAAACAAAAAGAAGAAAAACTTCTAATTCATAACCTTCACTCGGCCTCTCCAGCCAAAAGGAAAAACTCCTAAACCTCGTAGCGACGTGGCCTAATTTGACCACACCATTTTAAAAACACCATTAAACGTCCAGTACCCATAGACATCCCCTGAACACAGGAACCAGCCCTCGATGTTACACAGAAAGTCCAGCCACAACAAGACATATACATACTAACGCACCCCTGCTATATAACCACCTTACCTCCACCAGATGGGGATACAGAAACCTATTGTTGCTTTTGGTCAGTTGGTATCTCCACACGAACGTGGAGAAATTTGAAGCATTACCGTCCCGAACATCCTGCCTTGCCTCAGTGCTCGGTGGGAGCAGCAGAGGTGAAACCCCTGTTCCCCAAACAATCTGCCTGGGTAAGAACTGCACTCATGAGCCTCCAGATGCTACATACGCCATCGCCGTTGCATACTACTTTAAAGAATAACAAACCACCCAAAAGCTTTGTCCCTAAATCTGCGGCTTCCAATCTACCAGTAATCTCAAGCCTGGCATGAGCCGTTGTTACCGTCTCCCATCCTAAGACTCCCCCGTCGGTACCCCTGCATGGTCCTACTATTTCAGAAGGACGCCCCCTCCCCTAGCCAGTCGACTCACCTTTCCTTTTTCAAACGTAGCTTCCATTGCACTCCGTTGATAACATCCACGGGAAGAGAGTACCCCTTTATTGCTTCAAGCCATGACCAGCAGCCAACTGCCCTCTTTTTAATTTATATTTTGCCAGTATGAATCTCGACAGCTCATTCTAGCCCACTTCCACCCGCTAATCGTATCAATCTCCATTTATTGTGGGCTTGGCCAATAGATACCAACCGGTCCTACAATTATTGACTTACGTCCCCATCCCAGTCAAGGACTGCAAATGTCCTAACCACATCGATTACCAGGAACTTTGCCTTTGTCTCAGCTTACATTGCCCTGACATGACGGTTTTTCATCTTAATATAATTTAAACTCATTTCTAGAATTGCGAAGGGAGGGCTAATCTCGTTCTTCAACGCAACATCCCCCCTAAACAATTGCCAGGAAATTTCCAGAGAGAATGAAAGAGCAAGGAAGTTCCGCGAGATATTTTATATTATATGACAGTACCGTCAGAAGACGAGAGGAAAGTCTAACGCCGACCCAAAATTAAAAAATTCGCCTTCCCTCGGCGGATGGCCAAGACTCAAGAGGAAGGAGATTCAATTACAACAACCGAAAAAGAAATTTCAGCTTCAGGCAGGAGGAAATGAGTAGCATCTTTGCCAAGCTCTTTTTCTTTCTTTTGCTATTACTTTTACCGTCATCAAACTGTAGTGGGATAAGAGATGGAGAAGAGACAGCGAACGAGGAGGATCAATGTATAATGCGTTGTAACACCCGGGGAGATGCACACCAAATTCAATTAAGATTCAACCATTCGCATGGGAAAGTTACTCCCATAGATCTGGATGGTATGTATATATCTATACTTCTATTTCGAAAATTCTGTCATTCATCTTGAGGTTTGATCTAAGGAAGATTACAGTGTTTCTAATTGTTTGATTTGATTACTTCTGAGTGTCATCAAACTCCAATTATGTTAAGAATTAGTGGTATACTTTTGTTAGTAATAATTTTTTAATCAATTATGATTTTACCTTTCCTTCATCATTTAGTTTTGTTACTCGGCTCTAGTAACCAAGATAACAATTTGCAGCTTAAGCTTAATTCAATATATTTTCTCCTGTAATTACATCTTCTATTCTTATATATATGCTACTGCTAGTATTCCAACTGGCAAGGTTGCTCTAAAATAGTGAAGGCTCATCATGTATTCTTTTCTGCAAGAAATGACTTGCTACCGAAATGGTTCAAGCTTTGAAAGTACGTAGAATTTCTTTGTTGAATTAAAACAGATCTGACAACATGAAGCTGTTGAATATTGCAGAGTCTTATCAATCTTATGTGGCCATCAGGAATCTGACTTCACAAAATTTACCAATTCTATGTACGGTCACAAATTATGAAGCTGCAATTACTGCGGCAATAAATGAGGTTACCAGGAGAACCAAAGCGACCATACTTTGTGCTCTGCCTGGAAAGGCTAAATCAATAACGGAAAACGAATCTTCAACGAGTTACGTTTCTCGTCATATGTATGAAATTACTCGCCAAATTGCTAGTGTAATCGGCAATTACCAGTGGTTGAAGCCTGGGACATTTGTCGACGATGAGTCGGACAGGGTTAGTGATTTAGACATCGTCACTTTCAACATGAATAACCATCCAAAGCAAAATGCAGGTGGGATTATTCAAATGGCTGCTACTCTATCATTTTCGACATCCCGGCCCCTTCAGTATTATACAGAGTTAACCATTGCCGTACCAGTAAGATCGATTCCCTGGCAGTTTGCCAACACAAGTCATGACGAGAACCACAGAGAAACACAAATAACAGGGTTTTGGATTGATATCTTTAAGGCAGCTGTTGCAATGATGCCAGTCAATACCACTTACAAACTGGTTCCATTTTACGGTTCTGAGGATCAATTGCTGAAGGAAGTTGCTCGCGAGGTTTGTTGTTCCTTATCCGTGCACTTTTCCTGCTGCTTATTGTTAGTGCTAACTGTTCTGTGATGTAAACATGTAAGTAGATTTTAGCTCTACTATGAACAGAAAATGTAGGTGCAATTAATTAGAAAAAAAACTTACAAAAATATATGAACATGCATCTAATCCATGCATGCATTGGCTGCATTGCATGACACTTACATGCTTACTGACATGTCAGCAAAGCTGACTGAAACACACAAAACTAACTCCACAGGCTATTTGCACATGCATTGTGGTAGTTCATAATTCATGCAAGCTCTCAATCTCAGTAAATATATTAATATATTAATCTCCAGCTAACATTTTCAAAAGTTTTTCTTAAAATGCTTTATTATAACGTGGTTATCCCCTATGAGGCTATGGCCAAATCCAGTGAAAAAAAGATTATATATGAAAATTGACAAAATATTATCAAACATTATTTGACTGATTGAAGTTTGAACTTTTTTTTTGTACATTGAAGACTTTTGATGCAGCTGTTGGCTTAACAGTAATTAAAGAGGAACGGTCCCAGCTTGTAGAATTCTCATATCCCTATCTTGAAGTAGGACCGGTGATAGTGATGAAGAAAAATGTTGAATTGAACCAAGTTTTTTCATTCATGAGACCTTTCACCGACGAGATGTGGCTTACTTTGGCATTAATGACTATCTTCACTGCTTTTGTTATTTGCTTAGTTGAACATAGAACTGGTAATGAATCTGGTGGTAACCTGCATTCTAGACAAGTTGGAGCTTTCTTCTGGTTCTCTTTTGCGACTCTTTTTTATGGAGGACATAGTAAGATAATCTATTTTTGGTTAATTTTAAATTTACACATTTGACCTTGTTCTTGAGCATGTTTTTTATATGGAATTAGCTTCGAGCACTACATTGTAGAATACAAGCACTAGATCTAACCCCAAAGCTAATACTAGGGTCCTTAGCTGTCTTCTGGTTCTCTTTTGCGACTTCTACTCCTTACTTTCTACTTCTTAAATTATCTGCCTCCACATGACTTTTTTTTTTTTTAAAAAAAAGGTGGATTTTATTAGCCATGCAGCCAATATGTCATTATTAGTCTCAAGCTGTAAAAGCTAGAGACTCCTATTGGCATGAAACACCGAGTTGGCAAAGAAACATACAAAGATAAGCTCTAGTTGTGGACAAAGACTCCACATGACTGAATTCATTGTGGACGAATAAAGGATGTCCAAGTTTGTCATACTATCATGGAAAGTAACTTTTTTGGGTAAATAGAAAATAGGAACTTGTAGCTTGGCTTGAGGAGTATGGAGCTCGCTGTTTCTGGTTCTATAGTGGATGCTCTAAAGGGGATGGCTAAGATAGCGGAGTGACTCTGTTTTGTATACTCTTGTTCTGGGAATCTGCTGCCTCTGTTACTGAGTTATTATGGGACTGATTTTAATTTGGCATGGGATGATTTGGTATTTGTTTTGTATTCAATTTTTTAGGTCTAGTTCGTCATTGCCATTGGGAATGAAAATTAATTTATGAAACGAACAGTTTCGAATGTAAGTAATAAAGGGTATAATTCAAGAATGATGGAATGCTGATCAGTTATTCATAAACTGTTCATATTGCAGGAGAATCACCCAGGAGCAACTTGACTTATTTTGTGCTGGCCCCATGGTTATTCCTGATCCTGGTTGTCACTTCAACCTATACAGCAAGTTTTACTTCCATGATAACAAGCTCAGAGACTGAGCCATCTTGTTTGGATATAGAGGATCTCAAGATAACAAATGCTATTATCGGTTGTGATGGAGATTCTATTATCTTCCGGTTCATAGTGGATGTCTTAGGGTTCCAGCCAACAAATATCAAGAACATTGCTCAATCTTCAATTGATGATTATGCAAAGGCTCTATCAAGTGGAAAGATAAAGGCCGCATTCTTTTGACGCCTTATGCCGATGTTTTGCTGCAAAATACTGCAAAGGCTTCGAAACGTGGAAGCCATTCCGTAATCTACGTGGTTCTATAGTTGTAACATCAACGATACCCTTCACTTCCACTACTGGTTTTGGTTATTTAGCCTCGTTTGTTGCTCAAGCTTTTGGACATGTCATTTTACCATTTTTAGCTTGGTTTTACAGGTGTTTCCACGGGGTTCTTCTTTAGTTCCAGAGATGTCAGAGGCGATGCTCAGATTAATAGAGAGCGGAAAATTCAAGCAAATGCGGGAAGAAATGCTATCTTCTTCGGATTGTTCAAGTTCAACTATTGATAGCACCATGAAACGAGGAATAGGACCAGGGCCCTTCTCAGGTTTGTTTATTTTATCAGGCCTGGCATCTGCAATTGCAATGTTAATCACGGTCATTCGTCTGATGAAAATACGTTTGGAGAGCTGCATTCAGAGAATGTTGATGGGTAGAGGCCTTTGGGTGTGGTTCACAACTCTGTTTTCACGGAACCAGGGGAGAAATGAGCTTCAAATTCAACTACCAAGGATAAGCTCCCCCGCCCAAACACAAGGATCAGCAGCTCCTGGTACATTATTATAGTGTCGACTAAACCATCAAATTGGCATACCATAAAGGACGGGTTTCATTTCCATTCGCTTTGATGAGAATAATTACATGAGTAGATAAGATGCATGAGTTGCCACTTGACCTTGATACAAATGATAAAAGGTAGTGTGGAGTTTGTATCAAAGATACTAAGTATATACTCATTATTCTTTTGGTTAAAAAAAAAAACATGAATTTTACTTAAAAACATACAGTACAGATGAATTATTCCTCTTCTAGCGGAAAGTTTACTTCAACTCATCATTGGCTATGTCTTAAGACAAAGTAATGGGTGAGCATAACAAAATTAAGACAGTAAAATAAATCTATGAATTAAGGCATTCAAATTCTATAAAGTTGGCATATTTGCCAACATTAAGTTTGTTATATCCGATCTAGGGGATGAATAACAAAGTGGACCCTGTGAAGAAGAGAATAATAATTACAAGGGTCAAGGGAAGTGGATTTGTGCATAGCCGGCAGTTCAGGCTGTTCGGGCAAACTGCCGGCCGTATGGATATCAGCAACCAATGAGAATGAATTCAAACGAGATACTTTGCTAATATTAAACCAAGCATTGAAAGGTTAGTGTTGAACCAAAATTAGTAAAACTGGCTTCTACAGTTCCAATTGAACCAGCACTTAAACCATCAACAGATATTCATCCAAAAGAAGAGAAATA